TAGGTAACTGCTACCAAGTACAATGTACTACTGGTGTTACTGTTACTGATACAAATTACCTCCAGTCAGTAGTCTTACCTGGGGGCAGCAGTTCTAACCTGATTTACAATGATCTCTATTTGATTGTTTGTCTACGTATGCTCCTCCTCTTATCAGGAGATGTTGAACTCAATCCTGGTCCTATAACAGGTGCACTTGGTAGAGGTAATAATAAGCTTACTACACATTATCTATTATAATAGACAAGGAGCTTACTCCGGCAGCAGTAATAAAAATATTTGGTTCTTCTGCTCACCACTATGAGCTAATAGGGACTGGTTTGGGTGTAAATGTGTCTGATCTGACACAAATACCAGGAACAGCAACTAACAGTCTTATTAAAGTATTCCAGAGGTGGTTTGATGCTGATAGAGATGTCAATTGGGATACATTAATAAAACTGTGTGATGACTTTCCTGATCAACTGGGCAAAGCAAGGTCTAACCTTAGTGAGTTACAGGAGCTGATAAATTAAGAAATTATACTATGAAATAGGATTGATTGAAGACACATCAATCAGTGAATTTTCCGTGCTAGCATCTCATTCAGCAAGTAGCATAAGTACCAGTGCAGGTAACAATTAAATTATTGGTGTGCTGTATAATTGCTGCATGCTACTTTGAGCAAATGATAATGAAATCATTCTCATATTAATAGGTGGTCATAACATAACTTCTCCTTTTAGAAATAAGATAAGTGAAAGGAATGTTTATGAGTCTTTGAATGCTTTACATCTGAAATTTTCAGATTTATTTATGATTTTTGAAAGAAATTTTAAAGAAAAATTTATCCACAACAGTCAACTAGCAACTGATGTATCTAAATGGCTTATCGTACACATGAAGTGGAAACGTGGCTCAGTAGATAACAATCTTGAGGATATTTTTAATAAAATTGAACCTTATTACGACTTTATTGATTGTAAACTGTTACTGGACATGAGTAGAAAGTTCCTTCCAGATGTAACATTCATTGATGGTGGAGTAACTTATAAACTTGTTGATGGACTACAGAGCCATTTGGAGGAAAGCAAGAAACTTTGTACATCATGCACAGTTTCTGAATTTGGAAAATTCCTCGTGAAAAAGTTTAATCCTATTGATAGAAACATTAATAATCTACCTTACATTCATATGCACCTTCAAAATTGCTGGGATGAGATGAATGTTAAAGGATTGTATGAACTTATTAAAAAGTTACTGCCCCAAGAATACAGACAATCAGTTGTCAAACATATTACAATAAGAAGTAAATGTGTTGTCATCAAGTTACATATTCTTGACTTTACAGCTGATAGTCTAATAGAATATACTGGAGGAAAGTTACAGTTTATGCGTCTCATTGGTATATTTAGTTTATACATTAATGATCATCTTGTCCTTCAAGAAGATGAGAATATGAACTTCACCTTTGAACTAGCTCTCCTTGAGGCAGTCACAGCTGGTAATAATGAAGCAGTAGAGTTTCTTCTTCAACTAGAAACTGTTAATATTGATCATACTACTGAAGAAGGCAAGACAGCACTAATGTTAGCAAGTGAACATAATCACATTTCAATCATTTGCATGTTGCAAGCTGGTAATTTTCACTCGAAGACAACAGGATTTTCGTTGATTAAAGGTAATTTTGCAGTGATTTAGCATAACATTAGTGGCTGCAGGGGAGTAGGTTGTTTATTGATAAAAAAGATAGATAACCATGTTTTGGTTATAAACATGCTACTACTTCTGATGTTCCTTCTTCTAGTATATGCAACCTAATAATGAGTGCATGTTATTATGCATGTTGTCAAATAACTTTGTCACAGTTATTTGTTATAATATAAATAATTATTTTGATTTGTCTATACCTTTATTCTGGTTTGAAATTGGATTAATTATTTTCAGGCCTAATGGCCCTCAGTATGATAATTGCCATAGACACATCACTTCATTGTATAACATATACTAATTGGGATGGTAATAGGGTAGTCATGTTACAGTAATATTGTTGCAGTAGTAGCAGTATTTACATGAAGCTTGTTATGTATCTGTTTCTGTTATAGGCAATACTGATCAGGATAATGTAAAGGAATCAGAATCATTACCAATAAGTAAGTTTTTTTTGATTGCTCATACACATGAATGTTCATAGGTGAATCTGATTGGGACATGTCCAAGGATGGTTTGAGTGATTCTATTCATAGTGCAAGTGTCTCTTCATCTGAGATTGATAAATCATGTAAGCTATGATTACCTTGATTTATACATTTAAGTTATATGTGCATGTAGCTGATGCTACTGCTACACAGTCAACTGGTAGTGATTGTAGTGCTGTGAATCTGATAGGAGAAACCGATATTAAGGAGATGACACTTTCAATGGAAAAAAGTAGTTTACTTTCTAATATTGAATAACAACTTGCTTTGTATTTTACAGTATGTTTTGCATCACTTCCCAAGTCATCAGAACATCAAGAAAAAATAGTCCAACCATATGGGGATATTAAAAAACAGTGTTCAGCTTCCAAATGCCTCATGCAAAGAAACGATCGAAGGTCGCTGATGATTTTGTGCAAAGACTGCCAAAAATGGTATCATATCAGATGCATTGGAATGACTAAGGAAAAAGCTCTTAGCTTAGACATGTATAAATGTGAAAATTGTTCAATCAAAAATTGTTGATGCTAAAATTTAATAAAAATTTGTTGTGTTAAGATTTAGATATACGAGGGAAAATCCCCAACACCCACACACTTCACAACACAAAATGGCCTCCTCTTCAACCCCACCTTCTCCACTTGATTCCAGTCCTAGAGAAGACCTGTGGGCTGAATGGCTGGGACCATAAACAAAATGGCAAACCTTTGGACTGTACTTACCAGGAATAAAACAAAAGGACATTGATAAGATTGAAGAGGACAAGAGTCACAAGACTGGAGTGGAGAGTAGGAAGATGGGACTGTGGACTAAATGGACTGGGGTATATCCACCTGGTACATGGACTGATGTCATTAGTGCTCTTAAGAGACTGAAAGAGAATGCACTAGCAGCTGACATTGAAGAGAGACTGAGGAAAGGAAAAGTATTTGAAATTAAAAGTGAGACATTAAAGGGAAGGAGGATTATTGGAGCAACTTAAATACAATTTTAACTCTAGATGACATGTATAATGTACCATATACGCCATATATCTTGTAGTAGTTAAATTTTGCGATTTTCGCGTTTTGGAAAAATTTGTGAAATTAAAATCCGCAAAATAATGTGCTGATTGTATAGTAGGTGTGGTAATTACATTAAAATCGCGAAATTTTTATTCTTAAATACAAAAATGCAGCCAAATCGCAAAATTTTATACCCGCGAAATATACGGCATATACGGTATTAGGAAATGTAATAAAAATTGAAAATTCTCACATTTTCAAAATTTGGCCTAATTTTAAGTAACTTTAAAAATTCATAAAAAATCCAATTTTGATCGGAATTGGCTTAAACTTTCTATGCAACATAAGAACATGTATATAGATCAGAAAAAATTATAAAAATGGAGAATTCTCTCCTTTTCAATTTTGGCGAAATTTGGGCGCGACCCTGTACTATAGTACAGGGACTTTGGCCCAATTCTTGAGTAAATTTTAAAATTTGTAAAAAATCCAATTTTGATCAGAATTAGCTCAAACTTTCTACACAACATAAGTACATGTATATGCATCAGGAAATGTAATAAAAATAGAGAATTCTCTACTTTTCATTTTTGGCAAAATTTGGGCGTGACCCTGTACTATAGTACAGGGACTTTTACCCGATTTCGGAATAACTTTTAAAATTTGTAAAAAAATCCAATTTTGATCGGAATCAGCTCAAACTTTCTACACAACATAAGTACATGTATATGCATCAGGAAATGTAATAAAAAATAGAGAATTCTCAACTTTTCATTTTTGACAAAATTTGGCCCGTGACCCTGTACTATAGTACAGGGACTTTTACCTGATTTTGAAATAACTTTAAAAATTTATAAAAAAATCCAAACTTGATTGGAATTAGCTCAAACTTTCTACACAACATTAGAACATGTATATGTATTTTAAAATGTAATAAAAATGGAGAATTCTCTACTTTTCAATTTTGGCAAAATTTGGGCGTGACCCTGTACTACAGTACAGGGATTTTCGCCTGATTTTTGGCTATCATTAAAAATTTGTAAAAAAATCCATTT